AAATAAATAAATAAATAAATAAATAAATAAATAAATAAATAAATAAATAAATAAATAAATAAATAAATAAATAAATAAATAAATAAATAAATAAATAAATAAATAAATAAATAAATAAATAAATAAATAAATAAATAAATAAATAAATAAATAAATAAATAAATAAATAAATAAATAAATAAAAAGAGAATACTAGTGCGGGAACCAGCAGTTGGCGTAATCGCTATGTCATTGGATTCCCACGTAGTCGACTGCAGTTCGCGTCCCGGACCCGGTGGCTTAAAAAACTCATGATGGGCGCGTGTGCGTGCGTGCCCAAGATCCCTAGAGGAGAATGGGGGAGAGGGGATTGCAGCGTGACCATCTCCCCTGGGGGGTGATTTCTCGCTTTCTGGCTTTCTGTCTCTCTCTCTCTCTCTCTCTCTGTCTGGCGAGTGCACGCACCCTATAGTGAAAACCTCTCCAAAAAAAAAAGAATACTAGTGCATGCCAGGGTACACTGGAAGCCACAAAATAAGCATGGCAGATTTTCCTGGAGTGTCAATGTTAGTGGCATATTTAAAGATATTTTTTTCCCTATTAAAACAAACAGGTGTAGTATACATTTTTTTCCCTCCTTGGATGAAGTATATGATTAGGATAGAATACAAAATATGAGTGAACTCTAAAAATAAAATTCTGCCTTAGGACACATCGCTGTTGGTGGCTTCCCCGGGCCTCTCCTACCTTGATTTATAGTCACTCTTTTCTGCCCTCCAGGTGTGGCGGTGAGAAGTTGGAGAGGCACTGTACGTACTGTACCAGGCTCCCTTTTACTGGATCTTGGCGGATGGTAAGATTCGGAGGCATTTCAGGTAGAGGTTAGTGGTACAAAGCAAGAAAACCAAGGGGCAGAGTTGCTTGTCTGAGGGAAACATTTGATAGATGGGACCTGCCTCTCAGTAGGTTGGCGAGGGGATTGACTGATCCCATATGGCTTCAGTCACTCATTGGGCTGCAGCAGGACAGATAAGGTGACAGAGATGGTCAAGCCTGTCTCTCAACCTGTTTTTCAAGTCAAGCTTCATCCTGTGATTCAGATGTGTTTTGAGGAAGGGCCAGAGCAGAAGCTAGAAGGCCTTTTGAGGCCAAGGTTCAGAAATGCCAGAAAATTCCTTCTGCTACATTCTTTTGGTCAAATAAAATCATAATGCAAATCCAAATTCAAGGGGCAGGGATATAGACTCCACCTCTTCATGGGAGCAGCTGTGAAGATGTGTGGCCATCACTGACCTTGCACACTTGCACAAGTTACTTCTTTTTTTTTTTTTTTTTTTTTTGAGAGGTTTTTGCTATAGAGTGTGTGTGCTCACCAGAAAGACAGAGAGAGACAGAGAGACAGAAAGCAAGAAATCACCCCCCAGGGGGGATGGCCACACCGCAGTCCCTTCTCCTCTATTCTCCTCTTGGGATCTTGGGCATGCACGCACACACGCCAGGCGTGAGTTTAAGCCACCGGGTCTGGGACTCAAACCGCGGTCAACTACATGGGAGTCCAGCGACATAGCCATTACACTGACTGCTGGTCCCAACTTCTTTATGCCTTTTTTGAAAAGGTTTAATGATAGGGTTGTTGGAAAAGTCATAACACATTTTTGCATAGAAAAACAGAAAAATATTTCATGACTTTTTCACTGACTTAATATGTAGTTCCTTCTTGAGCAAGAAAGGCAGAAGGACAGAAAGACAGCACCCACAGGGTCCTGATGGACCAGGCATCACCCCCAGCCTCAGCCAACCTGAATCATGGGTACTCAGGGAGGTCTCCGGATGTGAACCCAGAGTTTCTCTATGTGGGTAAGCCTCACAGAGGCGTTATGTTTTACTACTGCCTGGCCCCTCCTTTTATTATTTTCTCTTTTTATAGATCTGTAAAGGGAGTCCTTCTAGGGTGGTTGTAAGCGTTAGATATGTTTAGCTAGGTTGTGATGTGGAAACTAGCACAGCTCGTGCTCAGGGCTCAGTGGATGCCATCTGTTTCTGCCCTTCTTGTCTGGGATCATGCAAACCTCACTTTTCTTCAATCCCATCTTCTTCCCACTGGAAGCCTTCTGTGACTTTCCCGGCTCTTGGAAAACACATCATCTTAGAATCTCACCTGGTGGTTGGTATATGCTGCCTTGTGTTGCTGTTCTGTGTATACACATCATAGCTCCTTTCGGAAGTTTGTAATGAAGCCTCTGGAGGGGGCAGGCCAGTGCCTGCATATAATTTTTGTAGGGTTCCCAGTTCCTAGCAATCAGATGATGCTTAGTGAATGACTCTCATTCAGAAGAAGGTATACACATTTCTTTTGTGTTGTTTTAATTTAATCTAGTGAGTATTTTTAATCAAAGTATGAAAATAAAAACATGAAAGGAAAAAAATAAACTCTCCAGTTATATGGTCTCTCTACTTACTGCTTAATCACATAAGGCATATTCACAGGGAGACAATTTTAATTCCTTGAGGGGAGAAAAGGCTCAATTTTTGCTAGCCTAAATAAATGAAGGTTAATTTAGAGTTAAATTGGAGAGAGTTAGAGAAAGATTTAAAAGCAATGAAGTGCATTTTATTTTAATGGTCACTTCAATTATTTTCAAATTCTAGGAGGTATGAATTCTGAACTTGAACTAGATCAAAGAATGTGGAAACCTTTGTAAAAAGCAGAGTCTGTTGATTTTATAAGTGGAAGACTTTGTATATAATCAAAAGACTTTTGTTTTTTTTTTAACCTGCCATCATTTCTGGTTGTGAAAATTAAATATGAGTGCTTCTGTCATGCTCTTCAGGACTCTCATCCAGGAATCAGGTTTAACTTGCTTCATGCCAGTAGTATGAAGTTGGGGTACAGTATGGAAAGGTTAAAAAAAAAAAAAGTCTCGCATCTGCTGTTACATGTTGTTAACTCCCTCAGCAGACGTTAAATCATTTCAAGTACAATAATAGTGTGGGAGGTAAATTAACTAACCATTAACAATCTTATAAATACACAATTAACATGCCAACATTTATATGACACATTGATGGGGCAGCAGTAATTTTTGATTGGGAGTTTGCAGACCTTGGAGAAGCCTCAGGCTGTTGCTTATTCAGACAAGTTTTCACAGATTGCAGGTGAAAGGGCTGTAAGTCTGCCTGGCAGAGGGGAGTCTGAAGGGCTTTTGAGAAAGTCCAGGGAAGGGAATTTCTTCTCACCATTAGCTGGAACTGAGCATTTGAAGTCGCATGGTTGCCTCTCTCAGTTCCTCAGAGAGTGAAGAAGTATAGGGAGGGCTCATTTGCTTATGGTGTGTTATTTGAAGAAACAGTATTTCAGGTATGGACCTAGAGCTGAAGTTGCACGATTCACAAGGGATTTTCAAAAATATACTTAGACCTAACTGGGTTTTAGGTCAACAAGAAGATGATGGCTGAAGTTCCTATTTTGTGCAAAATTTTGTGACTTTTATTTATTTCTTATTTTGTCAGAGGACATGTGCACTCACCAGAGAGAGATATAATGAGAAAGCACCTCCTATGAGGGATGGTCCTCTTCATTCTCTGTCTGTTGGGGTTTTGGACACACATGCTCACACACAGGCACTGGTGTGTTTTTCTAGCCACTGGGCCCAGGACTTGAACTGCATAGTTAGCTATGTGGGATTCAGCTGCTTTACCACCATGCCACCAGCTGGCTCAGCTTTTATCTTTTTAAACAACCAGTACATGCACTGTCTATTCTTTGTTATTGTACAAATCACTGTTGCATCCGTGGAGGGGACTTAAGAGTCCCATCTACTGCAAACATGTTTGTTGTCTTAATGCCTTTCACAAAGACCTATGGGAGAAATAGCTCTCAGGTCTTAGAACCCTAAAAGCACTATAAGATTTTAAAAAATCATGTTGATTCGGACTGTTGTTTTGAGAGGCTATATGGTATAATGGTTAAGTCCCAACCTTTTGGGTTTAATTTTTAGTTCTTCTGTGTATTAGCTGTCTGGCTTTGGGCAAGTTTTAAAACTTTTCTGTGCCTCAGTTTTTTTATCTATAAAACAGAGATAAAAAGAATAACTAACTTAATAGGATTATTTTGAAAGTTATGTGAATTAATTCATGTAAAAAGAATAGAGTGTTTCTTGCTTTTGTAGTAAGTTAAGGTTAGCTGTTATAATTGCCTCTTGCTTCTGGGATTTTACAGTCTACCTGAAACAAGTGTGCAAGCTCTTATGGCATGCTCTGGCTTAAGGATTCATTCCGAATGACTTTATCTCACACTTCTCACCTCCTCCCCCGCCCCATGTTTATCTGTTTTTCTTTCTCCTCCTCTCGCTTTCTTCTTTCCTTCCTTTCTCTCTTTCTCTTCTTTCCTTCCCCTTCCCTTTTCTTTCTTTCTGCCAGAGGATACACGTACTTTTTTTTTTCCTTTGGAGAGATTTTCACTATATGGCGCGTGTGCGCTCGCCAAACAGACAGAGACATAGAGACAGAAAGTGAGAAATCACCCCCAGGGAGGATGGTCACGGCACAATCCCTTCTCCTCCATTCTCCTCTTGGGATCTTGGGCACGCACGCACACGCGCCCGGCGTGAGTTTTAAGCTGCCTGGTCTGGGACGCGAACCGCGGTCAACCACGTGGGAGTCCAGCGACATAGCCATTAAGCTAACTGCTGGTTCCCAGGATACACGTACTTATGAGAGAGAGAAAGAGAGAAAACACTGCCCCAGTGGGAGGCAGTCACACCACAATCCTTCTTCTTAAATTTCTCCATCTTGTTCAGATGGAGAAAACACACATATCCAGTGTGACTTCCAACTTCTGGGACTGGAATTTGAACTTTGGTCAGCCATGTAGTATCCGGCTCCTTACACGCAGGACTTAACTGTTGTGCTATCAAGTGGTTCCCCATATGCTTTTCTGTAAGCCATTGTAAATAAAGTTTGAGAGTATATGTGTATAAAACATTATTAAAAGTTATGTTAAGTCTTGATAGCCATCAAAATGTACTAAAAATCATTCCTGTGTTTAGGGTGCCATTCCAGATTACCACAGGCAGGATAGGTGATCATTAATGAACACAAATGGGTGTATAAAGTGACAGTAGTATCCAGTTGTACCTGATACTGCTCTTAGCACATAGCTGGAACTTGGTAAATATTTGTTGAATGAATGAAGTCTAAAAGGAGACCCACCCAGTATATAAAGAGGGGTATGCCATTTTGGGATATATTATACTATCTTCTCACTCCGTGTGGATGTCCCTATTGCTTCCATTTTAAGTAAAATAACTTCATGCTTTAGAGAACTTGGAGTTAAAATGTGAGAGAAGGAAGCAATAAGTAGGACATCTTAGGGGCACTGACCTCTTAGAGCCTGATAGTGTTTATCGGTCAGTCAAGAGTTGGTGACATCCAGGGAAGGGATTCAAGGGAACAACATTTTCGAGTGTCAAACTGTATTTCTAGATCATGTCTTGTGAAACCTTGGTATACATTGATGTGTTTCAGTGTTTTAGAGAAAAAGGGATTAGGGGCTCACACAAGTCTGAGCTATATCATGTTACTAGATTCCCTATACTTGGAGATACACAATACACATTAGTCAGAAAGGTCTAGGAAGTCCCATGATTAAGCACCAAGAAGAAAACTTTTTTTAGGGAATTATTTTATTTAATTTTATTTATTCATTCATTTATTTTAATTTGACCAGAGAGAGAGAGAGAGAAAGTGAGAAAGCAAACCATCAGGTCAGGACTCAAACCATGGTCAGCCATGTGAGAGTGAGTGTCCAAAGCCTTAACCACCATGCCACCTGCTGGTCCCCGAAAAACTTTT